CACTGCCAATTCTGAGTTACAAGGTTAGTGCCAAACGAGTGTTTTCCCTCATTGCAGCTGGATTGTTAAATCAGCCCAGGGAATAAAACTGTTTACAAGGCATCAAAAAGAAGAACTGCAAGTGATATAGTAACTTACTGCAAGTCAAGAAAAAGCCTGTCACTCATTTCTCTTTCTCTGACCCTACAGTTCTAATCTGCGGTTATTCCCCGTTTCCTACATTTTCTTTGTTCTGAATTGCCATAAGCAATTCCATATACTCGTGTCTCAAGGGGATCAAAGGTTAAAGCACAGAATCAGAAATTTCATCAAGTAAAGAAACACCTGTGTTTTCTGGTCTGTCAGGGTACTTGAGGGCTAGGGCACACCAATAGATCTTTTGTTTCTTGTTAGTTTCTAGTCAATTTTACTTTCAGTTTCCCATGCACTAACCAAATGCAGCAATATTTGGGAGGCGAACAGCACAGAATGTTAAAATCCAAACAGAAATCTATATTCACTGACTAAAATAAGACATCTTATTTCTTTTACAATTACATTTTGTATGATCATATGAAAGAAAACCATCCAGAACAACATTATTTGGATCTAAACTATCCGGCAGCAACCCACTAAACTTCACAACACCTTTGTGAGGTAGATAATTGTATCCATTTTACAGATGCATAAACTAAACTGAATGGGTTGCCCAAGGTCACATAGTATAGAATGGAACCCAGGTGCCCAATCTCCCAGTTACCTCCTTTAAACACTAGATCACACTGCTTCTCTAAGAATCCTTTTCCAATTTGAAATGCCTACAATATGTAACCAATTCTTCATGCCACAATACTTCTGTTTCTTGCGGTTTTACTCCACCTAATGAAGCTGAGTGCACTAATGTGCTAATTCAGAGGACTTTATTTAAGAAGTCTATAAGAGGTTAGACTAGATAGGATGGAAAGGATAGACATCCCTGGGTTTGGAGAAGTTAATGGCAAATATTTACAAATAGCTGGAAAAATAACATTTGAAATGTTTTATAGTCATTTTCTGCATATTTTACTCATGATCACTGTGCACACTGTTAGCCTCTCTCTGGCAACCAATTCTACCACCAAAAAATGTTGCCTTTTGCACATTTTAAAATAAAATGCAATGCAAAAAACATTACAATTCCAATCATTTTAACCCATTTCCTGTTTTAAGTAACTTTTGGTTTCCTAATCTAGCAGAACAAAAAATCATTTAAAAAAGAACCCTATGTAAATTTTTTCATCTGTATTTTGTCAAATCTGATCAAGCATGAAAATTTAATGACTGTTCTTTTCCTACCATGTAAGCCTGGTCCAGAGCTTGTTTCCTGTAGTCGAGTTCTTCCTCTAAATAACCCTTCTGTTTACTGAACAGGTCCTGAGCAATAATAAAAACAATGGAGGGTTTGTTCTTTATCCTAACTCATGAGGAATCATAAAGTTCACCATTTTTTTGTATGCAATCTCTCAGTCACTTTCACCTGAAAGCAACTGAGAACCTAAAGCCATGGGTCATATTTATTGTTAGGATATTTAGAGTATTAGATTGATTAGTATTTAAAAAACAACAACATCATATTAACTATGGGTATCTAGAAAGCACCTTTCCTTTGATGATCTCTAAAACACGGTATAAACCTTAAGGGCAAGATCCTGCCTTTATCTGACAGAGGCACACACAAAGGAGGGAGAGAAGGGTGAAGCATGTCCACCATGCATGTAGTACAAGAGCCATTATTTACACAAGGCAGGCCAAGAGAGGGGAGAAAATCATGTTGTTAAGTGCACTTCACTGCTCCTTTGAAAATGAGTAATATATGCCCCTCAAGGGTTTATGCTGGAGGTATCAATCTACATACTAACTAGCCGAGTGTGCAGCTATGTACTTTAGTCAGCAAATTGTATTTGAATTAGGAAATGGGATGACTACTTGATGTGGAGTCCAGGACCCCTCCTTAGTGCAAGGCAGAGATTCTGCTCCACTGCTAGCATAGAACAAAAAGAGGTTCTTTATGCCCTCTGGTTTTCTCTGTCAGACTTGCCTGGCAGAGGGCAAACTTTGGTTCTAAACCTCACACTACCCCTATAAAGGTAGGTAACTCTAATCTGATATGGGTAAACCGAGGGCCAGAGAGGTTAAGGGACTTTGCATACACAGTTGCAGAAGCTAGTATTAGAACTCAGGATTTCTGAATACTTTTCAATCACTAAACTCACTAACCCGCAGTAATAATATCTTACCTGTACATTGCTATAGCAACTGGGCACAAGGTGTTTTACAGGCCACCTATATATTATAGATGGATCATATCCGCTGTCACTGAAATGCTGAACAGATTAGGATTCCGTGGAACTCAATATCCAAAACTGAAGCTATAGGAAGACGATGAGTCTTAGAATGAGACTCTAAATAGTTGGAACTTAACCAGGACACAGGGGCCAGGAAACTTGCTCTTGAAAAAAGTGCTCTGGAGCTTTTAATGAGCACAAGTACACACCATAATCAGGCTGGAAAATACTAGCTTTATATCATTCTTTTTGTGGTGATGGTGCCCATAAACAAATAGCCCAGAAAGCGGAAAGGCAATTTGGTCAGACTTACCATTTATAGTCATTTTTATTTAAAGATAAACTTTTGTGTTTCCTCAACATATGGAACAAAAAGCAGTTTAAATATAAATCCATGTACCTTCTGATAAAGGCCTTTTAGCTTTCATTAAAAATACAAAATGGGCTAGTGTGTATATGTGTATAACAAAAGGCTTTTAAAAACAGAAAGCTTTGCCATTCTGGATCATCTATTTTATAGCAGAACCACTCCAAAACATAGAATGGTATCACTAACAGAAATTATTGGCCTATGTCAATAGTAAGAAAAGATGTTCAGATTGACTCTGGGTCTTGTTTGCATTTACTGGGCCAAATTTTGCTTTCAAATGCAATGCCCAATAATGTCCGTGGGAATTGTGCACATAAGCATAGGGACACAATTTGGTAATTAGTAATCAGTAATTAGTAATAAAACAAAATTCCCATTTGAAATGTTATTTGGCTTAAAATAAAACTGCTCAGCCCAGTAATCTGACAGTCTGAAGAGTCAGTAAGCATAAGAACTAATTATAATATATATTGTTCCTTGTTATTGGAAGTACCCCAGTTGTTGGAACAAGCCATTGTTTTTTACATTGGCAGCATAGAAGTCAAATATGGGAGACTAGAACAAGGTTCCATGCCATTTTCATTCTGATATAATCCATAAACAAACTGTAATGTTTAATGTTTTAAAACTTTATTAAACACTGGAGTTCTTTCAATGATCCATGAACCAATATAAAAGCAGAATGGGAACTTATTTCAGTCTTGGATGCTGAATGTTCATACGGCAATGACACAATTATTGTTAATTATTTTTTCTATTACAGCAGCACCTAGAGGGGCAAGATCCAGGCCCCACTGTGTGCTGTACAAACATACAATAAGAGACAGTCACTGCTCTAAAGAGCTTGCAAGCTAAATAGACAGGAGAAAAGGTGATAAGGGAAACAGGCACAGGGAGGGGAAGTGACTTGCTCAAAGGTACACAGCAGGTCAGTGGCAGAGCTAGGAACAAGTCCCAGTCTAGTGCCCTAGTCACGGTACCACACGGACTCGCAGGTGATATCACCATCATTTAAGCAGGGTGGCCACTACCAGCAATAGGAGTCAGAAATTGTAATGAGGATGGGATTTTCAGAAGCACTCAGCATTGGCCTAACTCTACTCCCAAAGGAAGCAGCTAGGCCAATACTGAGCGCTTCTGAAAATCTCACCATAAAATAAAATTTCATATTCGTTACACAATTTATGCCGGGCAAGATGTGACTATTGCTTTTGAGACTGACAGATTGCTGAGCTGAGCAAATACATACAGTTCCTTGGTGCGTAAATACTCAGAAGCTTGAAGTGAACATGAATTACAGATACCACAGATTGCAAATGAAAACATGTATATGTCAAGTTAGAGAGACACGACATATTTGTTCTAATTTACTTTGTAAAACAATCTAGTGTTTTCCATTTCCCCCCTAAAAATATGTTATTTTTTTACATTTTCCAACTCAGAGTTACAAATACAGTAATTCTTGGCATAATACAGATAAAAGGGCCCACACCTTGTATTACATGATTATTGGTATCACGCCCCATTCACAAAGGCAGTGCACCAAACAATGAGCCAGAAAAGCCAAATTCTAATCTTGGCACTGACAGCCAAAGGCAAGAAAGTCACTTCACCCATCAGCCTCTGTCTCGCTTTCTGTAAGATGGGGATAATGTTGTTTATGTATCTACTAGGAAAATGTATGGCAAGGTTTAATCCGTATTTGTACATCAATTGGAAGATGAAAAGTGCTACATGCATGATAAATCAACAAAATTAAACATTCATTCAGAAAATCTTCATACAACATACAGCAAAAGGAGAGCTTAGTATCATATCAAATTTGTAGTGAAAGACTTAATTGCACTTTGGAATTCATCCATCCTTGAGAGGGAAGAGAGGTTAAGACAAAAAAGCGGAAGCAGGAAGAGGACTTCATTAGTTGAAATTACACACCATAGGCCAAATTAATCCCTGGTGCAATTCTACTGAAATTTGACTCCAAGACTCCAAAGAACCTGCTGTTGCCAAACAAAATAATATACATAGAAAGCACACAGACAGGTTTCATACCATTTGCTTATTATACCCGTTCGTGTGGTATATTGTAGGTACAGCCATGCTTCAGTCTCAGTTTAATTACTTTTTTCTCTACACATCAATGGCATTAGCTATTAAACAGAGTTTTATAAACCTATTCCTGACAGCACCACGCAGTCATCCCCACTACAAAGAAAACAGCAACAACTTAACACGTCATCGTGTTTACAGACTTCTCTCTGAAATGGAGTTCTAGCTGAGCAAGTGACTTTTTAAAAATGATAATTTCTTACCTTTTCATTCTCCAGGTCCATCATCTTCTGTGTCAGTGCAGCTTCTGTTCCCTCTATTTGTTTTAGCCACTATATGAACACGGCAGGAACAAGAGGAATAGAAAAAGATGAGAATACAGCATCATTTGGAAGAGCATCATTGAAAGTGATGTAAGTTAATTTGTTGATGAGCGTGCCAATTGCATGCTTCACCCATCCCCACTCCCATTAACTGTTCAGCTTTTTCAAACTACAGAAATGAGTAGGAGGGAACTGGGAAGACTAATTATGAGTGGAGGCTGATCCTTCCCCCTCTAAAGGCCTAGGTTCAAATGTGACTGGGGTCAAGAAAGCAAAATTAGTTGATGGTTTCATCCTTGCTGCTCCCCAGGCCCATTTGTCCACATCACAAACCCACCATATGGTGTCAGGGCCCAACCTTGCAATCCTTTCTTATGGTAACTTAAACCAGTGGGAGTATTTGCATGAGGAAGGATTGCAGAATCCATCCTTTATTTGGCACAATTCACAGCATTTGTTGGGAGCAAGCTCATTACTAGAACAAGAGGGGCTTTGAAGGTGAACAGGGGCGTGTGCAAGAATTAAAATTTGACTGCTTTTGGAGGGGCACGTTCTGTGCCCCTACCGCAGCCCTGGGACCAGAAGAGCTTGCTCTCCTCACTGCAGGCCCGGGGCTGGAGGAGTTCTGTGTCCCCTGTGTCCCTGTTTGCCCCCGCCCCTCTTGGGCACTGCCCTGGAAATGAAGATTAAGATGGGTAGGGAGAACTGTGTGAAGAAATTCATGCAGTGGCTACCATCTGATCAATCTCTTATTATTATGCTTTAAAAAATGTGACCAAATGAAAAGAAGAATGGTCGTTGCATTCCAACTGTAAGACGATACATAGAGGAAACTACAGTTTTATGCCTTGAATATTAATGATGGCTAAGAGTATGCTAACATTCAGCTTTATGGGTTGTCATGATGGATGGGAATTCTCATTCTTGTTCATGGTTTTATTTTATTTTATTTCTTCATTGGATTACAGGACTCCCTTACAACACAGTCTGGCCAGTTCCCACTGAAGTCAGTAGGAGCTTCACCATTGACTTTAGCAGGAGCAAGGTTGGGCACTTAGAATATTAAGTGGAAGAACTTTGGGGAGAGTGATGAATCTTTGTTAACTTTTTAGCTGATGTGATGTGTTTTAGGGGTCTACTGATATTTAAGGACAGATGTTGGGCCAATAAAACATATTACCTCACCCACCTCTGTCCTATATATACACATACAGACACACTAAAATGTCATATGTTTTTAAATAGCTGATAGTCATTTCTTTCCTCACTACCTGGTAAGTCCTAACTACAGGATTCTGCATTTTCCTGCTAGCACCTGAGATCAGTAACACCTAAGCATTCACCATGCTGCACCTTTGACCTTAATTAACAGCATCAGAACAATAGGCAGCATCTTGCCTATTTAAGCATTAAACCCCATATTCAGCAGCACTTTTTCAGTTCACTTTAAAGCCCCTTAACAGGGAGGCCCAGAACTCTTAATTCTTCATTTGCGGTGTTTGCCTAATTAATGTGGTAAGGAAGGAGTCAATGGACTGAATGGTTGGATTTGGTAATTAGAGCAACTCAAATGACCTACACTTGTGACAGGATCAGAAGGAAACTGTTTCTACAATAAAGAGGAGGGGGGAAAATCTGATTTCTGATTTAAACGGCTCTGTGATTGAAATCCAAGATATCTGTGATTGTAATATGCTTCCCACAGATATATTTTAACATGCAGAAACTCCAGTGAATTACTGCTGCCTCCATGTATTAGGAGGATTTTCTAGTGCAGGGATGGGCAAACTACGGCCCAGGGGTCGCATCCGGCCCTCCAGACGTTTTAATCCGGCCCTCAAGCTTCCGCTGGGAAGCGAGATCTGGGGCTTGCCCCACTCTACGCAGCTCCCGGAAGCAGCAGCATGTCCCCCCTCTGGCTCCTATGCGTAGGGGCAGCCAGGGGGTTCCGCACGCTGCCCCCACCCAAACACTACCGCCACAGCTCCCATTGGCTGGGAGCTGCAGGAGCAGTGCCTGCAGACATGGCAGCACACAGAGCCGCCTGGCCACGCCTCCGTGTAGGAGCCAGAGTGGGGACATGCCGCTGATTCTGGGAGCTGCTTGGGATAAGCGCCACATTGAGCCTGCACCCTTGACCCCCTCCCATACCCCACACCCCTGCCCCAGCCCTGATCGTTCTCGTGCCCTCCGAACCCCTCGGTCCCAGCCCAGAGCCCCCTCCTGCACCCTAAACTTCTCATTTCTGGCCCCACCCCAGAGCCCGCACCCCCAGCTGGAGCCCTCACCCCTTCCCGCACACCAACCCTCAATTTTGTGAGCATTCATGGCCCACCATACAATTTCCATACCCAGATGTGGCCCTCGAGCCAAAAAGTTTGCCCACCCCGGTCTAATAGATAGGATATGGAGCGACCTGGGTTCAATTTAATCTGCCCCGTGCCTCAGTTCCCCATCAGTAAAATGGGGCTAATACTTCCCTGCCTCACAGGTGTGCTATGTAGATTAATTCATTACTGAATATTAGTCATTGCTTGATTGTGAGGCACTCAGACTACAGTGGTGTAAAAGTACATAGATAGACTCATGTTAAAATCAGACAACCTGTATGTTAGTTAGAAGGACAGAACCAAACACTCCTCCTTTTTGAACAAGCTGATTAAACAGTAAGACTACCATAGAAGTCCTCCTCTGGTCAGCTGAGGACTGACAGAAGTACTGTCAATAGGAATAGTTCCTATGAAGTAACCAAAACTAGATTTTTTGCAGGGGAGGTGTAAAAGATACCTGCTATTTTCAGAACTTTGAAGCCCCTTTTGTAATTTCTTTTTCTATTGTTATAAAGGATTTCCCATATTGACAAACTCCCAGTTTATTCTTAGAGGCAGGATTGCTGTGATTGGACACTAATGGAAATAACCTGCAAGAGGTCACTAAGCTTCTATATGAGAGGGCGAGCTTGCATGACCCTTATTCTCTCAAATAGTCCCATTAATTTCAGTGACACTATGGTTAATATGAACCAGCTTAAGTGAGGACTGCACAGTCCAGCCCTTAATGCTTGTGTAATTTTGCTTTTCTTTTTGTCTACTGATCTAGCCATTTACCGTTGATTTTTCTCATTAGAGTTTAAGCTCTATGATTGTCTGTTGTAACACAGCGACAGCTACAACATTTGTAATGATTTATTCAGTTTTAATAAAAATAATAATAATAATATATGGAGATATACCTATCTCCTAGAATTGGAAGGGACCCTGAAAGGTCATC